AATTAGAGCTTCAAGATTTTTCACTTGCCCCACGGTTTAAAAATAAAAATGTGAAGGCCTTTACAGTTGAAAAGAATGATATCTTCCTGTGGACAATAAGCACCACCGTAAGGCATCGGCTTATTTTTAAAGATAATTGACCTGTTTTCGTTGGAAAACGCGTCGGCGAAATACTCGAATCTACCACCGTTGACGAGTGACACATGTCCTGATTGGCACTAATCTAGCTGATAGCCGTACACGGAAGATTTTTTTGGAAGCCTTCACGGATAGCAGCTCCTAGAATTCAAATTAAGTCAATTTGATGATAACTTTCAGAGCTGTTCCGAATGGTTTAACAATTTACCTCAACCATACATTCTAGTCTTCTGAATGATGACAAAAAAAAAATATTTTACTTGAAGACGATCGTTACTCGAAAAAACCAAAGCGGCTATCGCGAAACCAGTTATGGTGTAGTTTTATTAAATGATTAAATTGCTATTTAGCAGATAGTTTGGTCAGCCTCATATTATTGTTGGAGTTCATTTGGACAAATTAGCTAGTTTTCCTCCCCTCAAAATGCCTATAGAATGTCATCAGTTTCTCCTCCTCCTCTTTAGGACTGGTCGCAGTCTTTCAATCTTTGTCATTCAATGATGATTTTAATAGCGTGACCCTTAGGAACCAACCTGTCGACATACCGCTTGGTCGATGCATACCGTTAGGCATAGTTGGCAGCGTCCCAGTCTCTTTGATTTCAATAATTGGATAAACGAGAAAGCCGAGAACCATGAAAGGTTATGCGCTATTGGTTCTAGAGGTAAAATGAAAAAAGAAATTGCATTAAGCGCTAAAACCCTAGTGATTACAAAAGCAAGTCTAAAAATCCGCTGTGTAAAAAATGCAAACCCTTTGGTCTTGCACTGCTTTCAAGGAACAGAATGCCATTCAATGAGCGAGACTTGAAGCAGAGCAAAAACTTTGCTTCGCCTGCCTCAAGGAAACCATAGCCTCCGTAATTGCACTCCGGCAAAGAAACGTCCAAAAGCATTCACGATCAGCTTGGTTTTGGCCGATTTACCGTTGGAACGCCTCGGGTGTAAGCAACGACCTTCCTCGCTGCGTGGACTGTTTTGGACCATTTAATGTTCCCATTCGAACGAGCACTAAGGTTTATTTTTTTTTGCCTCAACACCAGGGCCGTACATGTCGAGGTTGTGCCTTGCTCATGTGTGATGGGCATCGTGCGTTTCATCTCGCGCCGCGGTACACCCAGCACCTTTTGGTCGGACAATTGAACCAACTTTATTGGTACAGCAAAGGAACTTCTTGCCTGTTTAAAAAACTTGAACCTTTTGGCTCCAACCGATTTTGCGCACGAAAGTGTAACCTGGAAGTTTAACCCTCCCAACGCACCACATCTTTTGGAGGCCTCGTACGTAGCGTTACACGTGTTTTCCACGACATACTAGGCATTAGGCGGGTAACAGATGAAGTGTTATGATTAACACTCTGCTTAGTGGAGCTGGCTTTGCATGCGAGGCCAATCACTCCTGTAAATACTGATTCGCGTTTTTACCCTCTAGATTGCATCGTTAAGCTTAACTACATTAAAATACGTTAAATTTGCCGGACTGACAGACCTTTAAGCTCGCACCACTTCTTCCGACTTTGGGAAGGAGGATGTTGCAGTAGTAAATTTTTTGAGCGAAAGTAAACGCAGGTAACGAAACGAAAGTGCGAACGTAAATAAGAGTGAAAAACGTGTAGACTAACATGAGTATAGCCATTTAACAATGGCGAAACCGCCGGTCGATCGAGTTGGAATTCCCCTATAACTTTACTTTTATACATACAAACCCGAGGGGCTATAGTTCCATCTGAACGTTTTTTATTTAACACGGTTCAGACTTGATTAAGTCTAACCTCCAAAAAAGAGCATTTTGTCTCAAACGCAAATATCGAAGTTTTGAGAGCTTGCTTTGAGTTAGCAGCTTTGAAATGTTGTTTCTATTACCGATTATCAAATGATGGTTTTTAATGATTTTCTGATCTATTTACCAAGAATTAATTTTTATAATTTTACAATTTGGATTCGATTCTTTTTACGTTTGAAGATTGGAGCGGCCACAACTTTTGAAATGAAAAACTGTTTTCATAAGAAAAGAAAAAGCTCGTTTTTTATAATCTTTTCATCATTTTTTTTATTTAAACACTTTTTGACTGACTTTAAAGAGAAGTCGGAAATAAACACTTCCAGCTCTGTAATGCGTTCAACGAAAATAATCGTATCAAAAAAAAAACAAGTTCTAAAACTTCAAAAACGTTATTTAGAAATTTTAAAATCAGTCTTTCTTTCTACCGTATTATTTTTCATTTTTTACTCTTTTTTTATATGTAGCTCCTATGTGTTAGTAATGCGTTAGTTTAGTCGTACTCATTTCATCTAAAAAATGCCTTATTATGATTTTTTTTCCCGAAAACCAAATTCGGAAAAATAGTTTTTTTTGGTTTTTTGCTGTTCATGAAATTTTGTAAATCATTTTCAGAAAAGAGCTCTTTTCACAGCTTTAGAATTGATGTTGAAGTTTGTGGTTATTATTTATGTTGCATGAACTTTCAAGATGCGGACATATACTATGGTTCCGACCATTTCATACTATCGGAATAAAATATTGCGTAGAGTAGTAGTAGTAGTAGTAGTAGTAGTAGTAGTAGTAGTAGTAGGGTAGGCTTTAGGATTTCTCCATGGGTTTTGAATCCTCGTTTATAAGTTCGTAATTTTTCCCGGTGGGTTGCAGTTTCCACACCAGCAAAAAATTCTCCACATACACAGGTTGTTTCTGCAAAATTTCTGTTAAGGAAGTTCCAATACGTTTTTGTTAGAGATATTTTCAGGCTGTCATAATCTTGATTTTCGAAGTCCACAATTTGGCTAAATTAGTTGTATAGCGTATTAGAACGTACATAAAAATTTTCATTTGACTTTTTCAGTCTTGTTGCATGAACAGCAATCTCGCTTGTCCCGTTCGTGATTCGTTTTTTTGAATGATTGTATTCAAATCAATGTCAAGATTATTTTTAATAGAGAAAATAAGTAAATATGTCGTGTAATTCAAAGTACATTGAGAGTGGAAGGAGCTTTAAAAATTTCAGTCTTTCAGTATACTCATTTCGAAGTTATTTGTAATCCAAAAAGTTGCTCGTTTTTGTACTCTTTCTAGTTGTCTTAATTCTGTTCTGTTCTTGATTTTTGCCTCTTGATTTTAGGTATTTTGACGTAAGTGTGTAGGGTCAGATTTTGTTTCATTTTTAACCGTACTGACTGTAACTAAAATTTCGATTGTAACTAAAATTTCTAAAACAACTGATTGTAACAAAAAATCAAAATAGTTCTCTCAGTGCTGTGAAAAATGTGTCTATTTTTTCAATTGATGAACGTAATTCAGACTCTTGTAAAGGTCGTATTGTTATTTTTTTACTTTTTTCATGAAAAATTTGATAAAAATTTAAATTGAAGCTGCAAAAAATTATGTTCAGTTTATTCATTTGTTAAAAAAGACAACCTCCCCCTTTGTTACTTTTTAAGAAATCCGTTTTTGACCGACTGACACTAACATTTTTCTAAACGCGCCTTTAGTGCCAATATATACTAACTTTGAGGGGAAGCGCGCGCCAAAAAAAACTCAATTTTCCAAAAAGTGCCCAAAAACTGCTTTTTTGACCTCTTTGTTCAAAAAAATTGCCTGCGGTTTTTACAGTTTGACTTTCATTTTTTTTTTGTTTTTTTGGTTCGAGTTTCAATTGAGTGACTTCAGTTCATTTCTTTTAATAAAGAAAGCGAACTTCACTATCAAACAGCAAAGTGTAAAAGCCACGACAAACGTGATCGACATCTAGTTTCGAAAGTTGAATTGAAGAGCGAATTAAAAATTTTTGATCTAGTTTTTTTTTTCAAATTGCACTAGTTCTATGGAAAAAGGGCCAATCATGAATTGTTCCAGAAATTCAAAAAGCTTTAAGGGCATGTTTTTTTTCTTTTAAATTCAAAGTTTCAGTTTTTTCAAAAAATAATTTAGCTGACTTTTTTTTGTTTTGTCTGTTGACCATGTTTTGTCTTTACACTTGCGATCAGCTTATTATATTAATAGGAATCTTTTTTTTCTAAGCTAACTCGCAAGTAAAAGTGTTCATCAACAGAGTTCATTTATTTGGCAATTTCACTGTAATATTAAAAATTGCGGTTACGTAGCAGTATTTAGACAACCGCGTGTTCAGACACTGTATTAACCAATCAGAATCGAGACAAGGAAGATATGAAAAGCTTTTCTTCCTTGGCTCGATTCTGATCGGTTAATACAGTGTCTGAACACGCGGTTGTCTAAAAGCAGACAGCACTCCACAAATTACATAGCATCTATTCTCTGCTTTGATTGTGGCTAGTGTTTGGAGCCTATTAAGCGTCCTTTGCTGAGTGGTATGTGAGTGGGACCCTCATTCGCTAGGTCGTATGTTCGAAGCTCACACGTAGCCGAATTTTCACTAATGCGATGCTTATTTTTACTTTTTGTAGTCATTTTATAGAGCCGCTCGGTTTCTAGGAATTGGCAAAATGCTTCCTACATGTGAACTCTTTTTGTAATTCTTCTGCAATTTCTTTCTGCGTTTTTTTAGCTATAAACAACTTAAATTTGAATTTTATCTTCTATCAGCGCCCCCAATTTCCTTTTAAAAAGTTAGATAAAAAAGTTAATGCTGCTTGCGCAGAAACCGGCTATTTCTGTTAGCAATTTATTATTATATGTTTAAACCTATGGCTTCAAATTTAATTTGAAATTTGAGTTTGCGATATCACTCTGATGTTAACAATTAATAGCATGATAAACATTTTGACATGATAGAAAAAACTTGGCGCTAAAATTGAAAGAAGAACATTGGTCCTAACGCTTAACTCTATCTATTTCCAACAGTTGGATGAATTTTTTGTGGTAAAAGTTTAACGTGTTGTTTGTTTTCAGATGGCCTCCCTGTACAGTTTTGTCGGCAGTTCCAAGCGCTCAAGTGCTGCTAGCGAGAAGAACAAGTTAGTCCATAGCATCGCATCTTCCCTTCCTCCCATTAAATTCAATTCACTCCAATAGTTTTGTCCATAGACCTCCGAGAGGACAAAAACTCAATACATACATGTGCCAAGGCGTGAATGAATCCACTGTTCACTAAGTAAGATCGTGCGTGGTTATTTTAAGAGTAATCAAGGTACTGGGTACTCTTAGATAGGGATTGCTGATTTTTTTTTCAGGAAAATGTCTTAAATTTTGTTCACGCTCAATTTTTTTTTCGCGGTTAAACATGATTTCTTTTTCAGTTCTTTCCGTATCCGTTGTTAAAAGGAAGGCAAACTCCACTATCGGACAGCACAAATGTAAAGGTCTCGACAAACGCGATCGACTTCTAATTTCGAAAGTGGAATTTTCTCAACTATCAGATTCCCAGTGAAATTAAAAGTTTATCTATTGATCTAGTTTTCTCGAATTGGGTTAATTTTGTCGAAAAAACGCCTATCAAAAAAGGTTCTTGAAATTCAATGCGCGTTAAGGACATACATGTTTTCTTTAAAATTAGAACGAGGAAGTGTGTTTCTTTGTTTCATCTTATTCTATTTCATTTAAGTTTTTCATGTTAGCACTGCTCCATAGACTTAAAAGGCAATCAGAACCTTCAGGGCTTCCCCTGAAACGAGCAGTCTTGTTCCTATTTAGTAGTTTTAAATGGCGGGGGAAATAGTTTCTGTCTCGAATTTTGATTTAAGTCAGAACCGACTAATGAAGAACATTTCATTTTCTATTAAAAGTTCTCAGAGAAAGGATTTTTTATCCCATCATTGTTCCGACTTTCGTGATGAAATCAATCGAATCTTTGTACTCGGGGTAGTTTTTTGTCTTCAGAAAAATTTCGTCTTTTTGATTTGCCATTTTTGACGGATTTTTTTTATAATTCAAAAGTTATTGTTGTCATGAGCTTCAACTTCAAAAAGTATTTAACCTGTAATCATTTTTCGTAAAACTATCGGGGATTAAAGATTGCCCTTTTGCCCAATAAGGGACATTAAACGCGCGATATAATTCGCGCTATTCATGCGTAAGTGGAGATTTATTCAGTCATCAAAATTGTTCCAAATTGGTTGAAGGAAGCTCATTTGCCATAACTGATTTGTTGCTGGGAGCAAAGTTTATCACTTCGTATTTTATATGGCGTGTACCGGGATAGTTTCCATAAAAATTCAAAAGTTATTGTTGTCATGAGCTTCAACTTGAAAAAGTATTTAACCTGTAATCATTTTCGTAAAATTATCGGGGATTAAAGATTGCCCTTTTGCCCAATAAGGGACATTAAACGCGCGATATAATTCGCGCTATTAATGCGTAAGTGGAGATTTATTCAGTCATCAAAATTGTTCCAAATTGGTTGAAGGAAGCTTATTTGCCATAACTGATTTGTTACTGGGAGCAAAGTTTATCACTTCGTATTTTATATGGCGTGTACCGGGATAGTTTCCATAAAAATTCAGTGCGGGATGAATTGCAAGCAAATCCAGCTATTTGCTGAAAAGTGCTTCATAGTACTCATATAAAGATCGAATACTCTGCTAAAAAAAATTTTCAAGCTGGTGAATGTAGTGTTATACTACGAATCGTAATATTTTCTTACCCAAGTCAAGTCACAAAGAGTTTTTTTCTTAAGTTTTTACTTTTGCTCCATAGCATGTTCATTCCGGCTCCTAGACATTTTTTTTTCTTTTGGTTCCGACTTTCGTAGAAAGTGAGGAATATTTATGCTTGGTTTGGATTTTTTTCAGTCACTTTTCGACTTGGTAACTAAGCGTTTTTGGTGGATTTTGTTTACCATCTGAGAGATATTGTTATTCTACGCTCAATTTTAAAAAAAATTATTTCACTTGTGATCATTTTTTGTGAGCTTAAGGGCGTTTGAAAAATGCTATTTTGGCCAATTTGGGAGAAAAAAGGTGCGATATATTGCGTACTTATAACATGCGTAAGATGCTTATTATCACAATCTTTATCTTATTATCACAATACGAGACGCTAAATAGACCATTAGTATTTTACATAGCGTGTGGGGGGATGAAATGAAGAAACAAAGAAAAAAACGCTTTTTTTCAATTATTTTGTCAATTATTCAACCAAAAAATTTTCTGCTAGCCATAACGCAGTCAGAACAAAAATTGCGAAAAAGCGTGCTCAAGATTAATGAAGAATGACCTTTTTTTTCGAAAAAAAAACTTATTTTTTAAAAATCACAGCTGAGTCAATATTTACCTATTGAGTCTGTATCATCATATTGTGTTGGTTTATCTGAAACTTTACAAATTGCTTATGAAGTTACAGAAAATTTAAAGGTTTTTGTAATTGCTTTTGAGATTAGAAACTGAAAAAGGTTGAAAGAAGGTTGAAAACTGGGGGGATAAAGTGGTAAACTGGGCGGAGGGTATTTTGATAATTTTTTTGAACTAAGTTGAAAATAATTGATTAGAATCGATTATAATCGGTTATATTGGGATTTTGTTTTGCTAGACAAAAAGTATCATTATAATCCGTTTTTAATCAAATATAATCGATTCTTTTTGTTATTTAATAAAGACTGACAATAAAAATCCAACATAATCTATAAAAATCCATAAAAATTCAAGGCGGGATGAATTGCAAGCAAATCCAGCTATAGGTTGAAAAGGGCTTCATAGTGCTTATATAAGGATCGAATACTCTGCTAAAAAACACTTTCAAGCTGGTGAATGTAGTGTTATACTAAGAATCATAATACTTTCTTACCCAAATCAAGTCACAAAGAGTTTTTCTTAAGTTTTCACTTTTGCTCCATAGCAAGTTCATTCCGGCTCCTAGAAATTTTTTTTCTTTTGGTTCCGACTTTCCAAGAAAATGAGGAATATTTATGCTTGGTTTGGTTTTTTTATTCAGTCAATTTTCGACATGTTAACTAAGCGTTTTTGGTGGATTTTGTTTACCATCTGAGAGATATTGTTATTCTACGCTCAATTTTAAAAAAATTATTTCACCTATGATCATTTTTCGTGAGGTTAAGGGCGTTTGAAAAAATCAGCTTTGGCCAATTGGGGAGAAATAAGGTGCGATATATTGCGTACTTATAACATGCGTAAGATGCTTATTATCACAATCTTAACCTTATTATCACAATACGAGACGCTAAATAGACCATTAGTATTTTACACAGCGTGTGGGGGGATGAAATGAAGAAACAAAGAAAAAAACGCTTTTTTCAATTATTTTGTCAATTATTCAACCAAAAATTTTTCTGTTGGCCATAACGCAGTCGGAACAAAAGTTGCGAAAAAGCGTCCTCAAGATTAATAAAGAGTGACCTTTTTTTTCGAAAAAAAACTTTTTCTTAGAAATCACAGCTGTGTCAATGTTTACCTATTGAGTCTGTATCATCATATTGTGTTGTTTTATCTGAAATTTTACAAATTGCTTATGAAGTTACAGAAAATTTTAAGGTTTTTGTATTTGCTTTTTGAGATTAGAAACTGAAAAAGGTTGAAAGAAAAGAAATGTTACTTAATGTTGGTTGTTAAGATTCATGAACGTACCCGCACTGAAGTTTCTCGGATAAAAATAGATTATACTGAGAAAATGTTGCGGAAAATGTTGCCATTATAATAATCTCAACAAAATCTTTTTTTTCGCCCTGAAATCGCCATAAAGTTGCAATAAAATCTATTGTATATAAATTTGCCAAAAGTCGCAACAAAAACTATTGCTATCGCCATAAAATTGCAGTAAAATCTAGGACCCAAAACATCAATTATGTTTTCCAAAAAATGGATTTTATTGTCTGAAAAATTGAAGGGGTAGGCTAAACTGGGGGGGGGGGGTTGTAAACTGGGGGGGGGGGGGGGGGGGGCATAACCGGAGGGATGGATAAATAAACCGGGGGGCGGGGGATAAAGTGGTTAACTGGGGGGAGGGTAAATAGTGGGAGGGGTGTAAACTGGTGGAGGTTGTGAACTGGGGGCTTAACTGAGGGTGGGGGTGGTGTTTAAATTGGGGGGGGGGAGTTTGTGGTAAAAAACAGTGAAATGAAGTGTTAAACTGCGATGAATTCAAAAACAGAGACCAAAAAGTGTAGAAATTTTGTTCTGAAGTGTAACATTTTATTGAACGTAATACGTAGCAACTGCACTAAACAGGAAATAAGATAAATTTAAATAAATTGTAAATTTCATGAATAACACCTCGAAAAATCCATTATAATCGATTATAATGGATTATATTGACAAAAAAATATAGGATTATAATCCATTTTTAATGGATTATAATCTATTATTTTGTCATTTTATTGCGGACCATATTATGACAATATAATCGATTATGATCCAAGAGAGCTCGGTGTGGGAATCTATTATAATCTATTATAATTCCGATATAATCGACATAAAATTAAAGTTTTTTAATGGATTTTTTTTCTCTATATAATCGATTGTTCTACTCTGCGACCACAAAATCACCAGATTATTGATCATTAAAGAACAATTTTTTGTTCGACCTCAAAATCGCCAGATAATAGATATTAATCGGAGAAACTTCGGTGCGGGTAGTATATCACTCTTACATAGTCCTAGGTTATTTTTTAAATATGTTTTAATATATTGTTGGTTTTTCACTGAATTGAATTGCACACTTTGTACGACTTGTTCACTTTTTCTATGTCTGCATCTGTTTTTTTTTCAATTTAGGCGAAGTAGGTCGCGCCACTCTTCAACTTTAGCACACCTTCCACTCGCACCCGCTCTCGGCGGAAGTTTGGTGGGTCTCTACGGGTCATCGCCACCTCATCATCGCCAACACTCCTCCGGCGGCGACGGCAGAGCCCTGTTTTCTACTACTCACAATCGGCAAAAAGAGTCTTTAGGAAAAACGATTGGTTTGGGCAGGACTTCTGTCGACAGAGGACGCAGGCGATCTTCGAAAAAACAATCATTCCACTCACGAGTCTCGGCAACAGCTGCGGATAAATGGTGTGTTTAGCAGCTCTGCTTTCATTTTCAACCCACATAATTATCCTGATTGAAATGTCAAAGACAATAAATGCTAACTGTTGTCCAATACTATTTCGATTGCTCTAAGTTTGTACATGTAGGCCTGCGGCTGAAGATGACCTTGACCTGATTGACACGTGGCACAAGCACACCGTGGAGCCAGACTACTCGACTAATTTGGCTCTCAACTCTGACGACCTGGACGAGTCGGACTCCCACACCTCATCGGGTGGATGGGAGGACGACAGAGATCCACACTCAGACAGTGAGGATGAAGGGGACGAGTATATTGCAGTTAGCGTGGATCCCTCGCCCACATCCCACCCCACGTTGCCACTCACTTCCCGCACTCAGCAGACAGACGACTCTCTCAGTGACTCGATGGCCATGAAGTTGGACCTGCAAATATTCATCTCGTCCGGAGAGTGCATGCTTCATGCAGATGGGCCAGCCGACAACAAGTTAGATGACCATCCTTGTGTTGTCGCAAAAATCTTTTTTTTCTTGAGTATGCTTATATATTAAACCATTGGTTACTAGGCTTTTTAAATTGGTAAATTAACCAGGGGCAAATTTAGAGAGGGAAGTAGTCGAGGCCGTCATCTCCCATGCTCAGCAATTTGACCACTTTACCAACCAAAGAGTCTCCCTTTGGTAATGTTTTACAATAAAAGTTAACACGAGCGACGTTGCGAGGCCGTCAAACTGTGTTTTCTGAGTTTTAAGCGGATTATACAACAGGTTGAAAACAAATTTGTTGCGGAATCCGCATCACGCCTATTTGTTTTTTTTGCTGTTTTAGATTTCACAAAAAATGCTAAAAATGTATTGCTCAAAATTCCTCCAAGAACAGCCAATAATGCGGAACTTGCAACGAAATTTACGGAATCTATATCTATATCGAAAAACAAATAAAAATGTATGTGCGCAGTCAGCATGAACTGTCGTGGAGCCATTAGTTGTCAGCGGAATCCGCAAAATGCAGCGGAAATTTTTTCTCGGTTCTTGACTTTTGATTTCTTTTATAAGTTCAGCCCAAAAATTTTCGTAAGGCCAGACAAACTCCGCCATCGAACAGCTGACGTTTGAAAGTCACGAAAAACGTGACTGACTTTTAGCTTCGAAAATGGAATTTAATTTACATTTCGAAACAAAATTAGAAGTTTTATCTATTGATCCAGTTTTTGCAAACTGAATTAATCATATAAAAAAAGTGTAAATTGTTCTAAAAATTCAAAATTTGAAAACTTTTTCAAAAAACAAGTCAGTTGTTTTTCTATTTCCTTGCTTTCATGATTTTTTTATTTGGCTATAATTCTGTTTTAGGTTTTAAATCAATTTTGTTTTTTATTACGATGAAAAATCAGTCAACTTAAAAAAAGTGACCATTAGCAAACTAGACAATAATCACAATCGACATTTTGAATAGAGGCACCATCAGAAATTGGGTTAAAAATCAACATCAACAAATAGAATGAAAGACCCAATAAAAGCAATTGGGATAGAAGTTACACGGGTTGACCTCCTTAGATCAAAAATGGTATTCATACAATTCCATAAACGAGGTCTATGAAAAAATACTAGCCATACAAATTTCATACATTTTGCTAAAATGGTTTCAAAGATGTTTTGAAGAACTTTTTTCTTGTTTTGGCATGAAGTTCGGTGTCTCGTACTAAATAAAAAGAAAAACTTTTTTTTTCAAAAAATTGCTACACATACATTTTCCATATATGGAAATTGTATGATCAGCATTTTTTTGATAAGGATAACAAAAATTCTTCCAAGTAATGTTGAAATTGGCCTGAAATATTTTTTGTGTTTTTTTATCCGCAAATCGAAATGTGTACAAATCGAAAAACGTTAAAAAATCCTCTTGATTTTGTATGGCGGCATATTTCTGTATCCCTCCTTGATCAGTGTCGGATAACTTGAATATTCAAATTTAAAAACAATCTTTGTTAAACATTTTTGTCAAAATTTAAAAATTTGATACATTCGAAATATTTTTTGCGTAAGACAGATTTACGACATTTCAAGTAAAGATGTGCGATGCAGCTTTTTTAATAATCGATGCGATGATGATGCGATGCGGAAAAATTCATCAAAATTCTATGAACTTTCGATGCGATGCAAAAATGGAAACAGAGAAACAAAATTTTATTTTAAATTCTCACGCTAGAACAGTAGCATACGAAAATTTACGGGAGATGGTGTTTGCTGTGCTGATGCTACTATGTTACCCGCATCAGACCATACTCTCTCGCTGGGAACAGCAGTTCCAGGAATACACAGTAAGTTTTCTGCAAGTTTGGCATTTTTTGGGAGTTTTTGCACAGTTTGTTTCCATGGAGAAGCGAGTTTTCGTTACTTACATGGCATTTTTCATGACGATACTGTTCAAGCTCTTTTTGGAATAGCTGTTCTTGGAATAGCTGGTCTTGAGCTGCAACGGTGCGAATTCTTTTTCTGACAACAGCTTCATCAATTGCGCTCCAGAAAGAAGAGTCAATTGTTGACGGCTCAGCTGTTGCACTTGTGACGACCATTTCTTCTGCATGATCATCGACGACAGTTTTCCAAAAACTGTACATCCACACTTTTGCAGTTTCTTCAAATTGCTTAGCAATGCGCCAGTCAAGCATCGAACAGATTGGGATTGTGTTTGCTCAAGCGTTTTTCTCACACTTCTTGGAGGCTAAATATAACAGGAGTAGCACCGGAAAGCGTTGGGTACTTTTCACCTGACAGTTTTTCGGTAGCTTGGAAGAACGGTTCCATGACAGCTACAAACTCTTCATCTTGTGTCCACTAATCTGTTGATTTTATTGGAGAAGCATTTTTGGTTTCACCCAATGATAGAGCTAGAGGACGCTTGTTCCCAATCTGTTTTTCCTCTTCGAGGTACTCACAATTCCATCGCGTGGCAACAGCTGGATGTAGTTTTTCTTCCAATAATCCCAGTTCTCTTTGGTTTTTGTTCAAATTCCGTAACCCAACATGGGAGCGACGGTAGAACGCCACGATGTCATTTCCAATTTTCAGATCAGATTTTCACCAACTTCCTCCACGGTTTTTATCGAATCGTTAATCACTAATTGCAACGTGTGAGCAAAACAAGGAATCGCTGTAATAATAATCTGATTCACTTTCCGTAAAGCTAACCCATAATTTGATGCATTGTCAGTGACAATAAACAATTTAGTTCTCGCAACATCCATCATGTATGAGCCCAGCACATAATCCAGCTTTTTCAGAATTTCGTTCCCAGTGTGGCGTTCGGGAAAATGCAAGCTATCAAGAAAAACCGACTTTAGTGTGAAGTTTGTGTCCATGCAGTGCCCTGTGACATCAATAAAAGCATCATTGTTTCTTGACGTCCAAATATCACTTGTAAGTGCCATTGTGTTGAGATGCTTTTCTTTCACGAAATTCGCAAGTTTTTTTGTTCTTTCTCGTATAATTGTGCGTGAAAAGTTTGTTTGCGTTGGCATATCAAACTTGGGTTCCAGCGCTTTTACCAGAGCTTGAAACTTGGGTACTTTGAAACTTAGTCAAACACTATTTCGAGTCTTGGTTGAACACAACTTCGAAACGTAGTGTGGTCGAAACGTAGAAAACGAAAAGTCGAGCGAAATGTGTGGTCAAAACATGGTCGAACACTGTCTCGAAGCTTAGTTGAACTCAAATAAACATCTTTTTCCCTTAGCCGAGTCGGTCGAAACATATCCAAGTTTAGGTCGAGTCAGTCGAAAGTTAGCAGTACGGGGTCGAACACAGTCGAACACCTTTTTCCCTTAGTCGAGTCGGTCGAAACATAGCCATTTTATGATGAGCCGGTCGAAATATAGCTGGCGTGCGTCGAACACATTCTAACCCATTTCCCTCGGTTGATTCGGTCGAAACATAACCACATTGGGTCGAGTGAGTTGTAGCAAAGTTGGCTTCCATCGAGCGCAGTCGAACACATTTTTTCTTCGGTCGAATCATTCGAAACATGGCCAATTGGGTCGATTCGGTCGGAACACAGTTAGCTTTGGTCGAGTCAGTTGAAATATAGCAAGCTTCTAACTCAGTCGAACATACTTTTCCTTTAGTCAAATCGGTCAAAACATAGCACTTTTGGGTCAAACAGAGTCACAAATGTTTTTCCTTTGGTCGATTCAATCGAAACATATCTAAGTTTGAGTCGAGTCGGCTGAAACATAGCAGTATGGGATCGAATACAGTCGAACATTGTTTTTCCTTTAGTCAAGTCGGTCGAAACATAGCAATTTAATTTCGAGTCGGTCGAAATGAAGCTGACTTGCGTCAAACACAGTATAAACCTTTTTCCTTCGGTTGATTCGGTTGAAACATAGCCAACTTGGGTCGAATGGGTTGTATCATAGTTGGCTTCATCGAACACAATGGAACATTTTTTTCCTCGAGTCGAGTCGTTCAAAACATAGCAAAAGGGGTGGAGACGGTCGAAACGTAGCCAATTTGGGTCGAAACGGTCGAAATATAGCAAGCTTTGGTCTAACTCAATCGAACACATGTTTCCTTTAGTCAAATTGGTCAAAACATAGCACCTTGGGTCGAACACAGTCAAGTACGTTTTTTCTTTGGTCGAGTCGGTCGGAACAAAGCATGCTTAGTTCGAAACTGTCAATAAGTTAGATTATTGTTAGAAAACTCCAAATTTATTTTGTTGAGCAAAGTTCTTATCTATGGTAATAACGGATCGCGCTCCAAGTTTTTGAATAGAGAACTCTAGCTAAAACCAATTTGATTTTAACTACAAGACGTTGGGCAAAATTGGCCAGATAGTAGTATCAAGTTAAGCAATTGTTCAAAATCTGAAAGTTCACAATACAACCCTGAAGTCTATCAAGTTTTAACTTTGTGTCTTAACATGCCTTAGCTTGTAGTCCAGCTTTCCCAATTAAGTTTGCTCTAATTTGATTGGTTGCTTTCCTTAGAAGTTTTACCTAAACTTTCAATTGCTTTATTCGATAGTCATTTTGTTTTCTTCCATAATTTTTAAAAAAATTACAATTTTTTCCTCCTGTTTATAGGCCGGCTTTAAAAAAATTTTTCGAAAAACTCTGTTTACAGAAAACAGCAGAAAACTACTAAGACATACTAAAGCCTTGAACAAATTTTTTTCTTTTATGATAAAAATTGGCATATGTTATTTTAATGTTGGCTGCAACGAAATTAATGGGCACTTTTGGCCTTCATCAGTGTTCTTCATCGGTGTTCTCGCTTTGCTTTCAAGATTTTTTGCAGACTTAAAAATTTTAGATCTATTATACTGTTTTATAATATCAAAGTTTTCACCATAGAATTTAGACCTTTTTCAGTCTCCTGTAAACACGGAATAGGGAAATGTCGAAAACTTTGAATAAATTTCATCACTTTATACTATTTAGTTTTTCATACTTTTTCCATGTCTTTAACCTTCGTTTGGCTTAGAGTAATTTTCAATTCAAATTGATCAAAATTTTGGCCCAAATGGGGTGGCGGCCGCCTCACTTGACAATTTTTCATTCTTCACAATTCAAGAATAAAACATGCAATTTTGAAGGAAATCGTTCACCGCCGCCAACATTTAGGCTACGCTGCCAATATATCCGGTGCTTTCTTATATAGCACATATTTTAGTTGTATTAGGTTCAAGTAGGTGCATATAAAAGTTATGTAACGTCATTTACATGTAAGCAAGTCAATACCCCCAAATTCTGAGAGTGGTCGCAAAATCCGTCTCTTAAACCCCCTTTAAACCATGAGTGTCCTTGAAACATGAGTGGAGCTCCAACCACTAACGGTTTAAAAGTATGTAATGTAATGCCTCATCAAACTGTTTTTTTTTTGGGGGGGGGGTTTAAAAGTATGTAATTTCCTGGCCACTTTTACATACTACTAGCAAATCAAACTTTTCAACGAACTTTTTCATGCGATTAAACATTATTCGTTCAAAAACTTAACCATTTATTGGCAAAATTGAAACCAGCACTGTTGTTCTGGCAATGCAATTGCGGGATCTTAATGAACGGTGGGCAACTTAGATCATCAACTAAGGTCACCACTAAAATTGAAATTGTTGACAAGGCTAAGGTTGTTGAAATTGGATTGAATTTTAAGTTTTCCTATCGAACTAAAAAAACTATCTATAGACACAGGGGCTGTGGACTGTTAGACGAGCAACTGTTCAAAAAATAAGTCTTAGATATCTGTTTAAGGAAGGAGTCCCACATCAAAGGAAGTCGCCGAGCTGACCCGAACGTCTCCAACATAACTGTTCCTGCCATCAGCATCAAAGTAAGAATACTCAAACCGATCATGTTTAGAATCAAAACTGTCGCGGTTAAGAAACGGCCCTTTTCTCATTCCGTTTGATCTATAATTTTTCTCCATTACTCACTCGAAGGCAAAATTGCACTCAAAAGGTGCACTTGTGAAAGATGTCTTTGTCTCCTCAAAGTTGAATGGCTTTCCTTTCCCCTAAGCACGAAACAGATTTTGCAACTTTCTGTGGGAATAAGAAGTTGATTTATGCGATGCGAGCTGAGGGCGTTTTTGTTCCGACTTTTGAAGAAAACTGATTTTTGTTCCGACTTTTGTAACGAAAGTAACAGAATATTTGTGCTCAGGGTGTTTTTTTTCTTCAGACCAATTTCGACTTTTTAACTAGTCATTTATTTTTTTGAAAAGTTGATGTTGTTTTGAGCTTCAATTTAAAAATAAATTTTCCCTGTGATCAATTTTTGCGAGGTAATGGGGGTTCAAAGATTGCCATTTTGGCCAATTTGGGACAAATAACGCGACATCCGTCTCAGAAATCGTTCCAATTGGTTGAAACAGGCTTCTTGCCACAGTATAGTTGTTACTAGGAGCGAAATTTGTCACTTTGTACTTCATATGGCGTGTGGGGGATGATTTTCACAAAAAGTTTCAATTAAAAAAAGTTTTTTATTTTCCATTTTATTTATAAGATTTAATTTTTTCTTGTTTTACTGCTCCATAGACCTTAAGAGGAAGTAGGAGCACTCAGTTCTTTGCCCTGATACGAGCAGTTTTATTCAGTGCGGATTTGGGGGGAATGGGGGCGTACGTCTCCACCTCAGGGGTTCGAACCCCTGCCGACAAAAAAGGTCCCCCTTCGTACTATTTTTAGATATCCATTTTTGGCTGGCGAACCCTTGAGTTTTTCTAACGGCGACTTTGGCGCCAGCATATGCTGATTTTGATATGCGCCAAAAAAAGCACTATTTTATGGTCAAAATGTTCCAAAAAAGGTCTTAAAACGTCTTTTTGGCCTGTTTTTCAAAACTTTACCTGCGTCGCAAACAGCGTTAGTTTTAGTGTCTTTTTAGTGTTAATTTCTCCGACCTAAAAAAAAGACAAAATTTTTTGGAAATTTTTTTGAAAATCCCCTTCTCGAGAAAATCCTCGATCCAACCATGGTCTTCTTTGTGCTTGGTGTGGTTTTTTTGTTCAGTTAATTTTCGGCGATCAAAACATTAGTTTTTCCCAAAAAAATATTCATTGAAGATATCGAATCCCTAAAACCAAATTTAAAAAGATATTTTTGCAAAATGCTGGGAGTTTGAAAATTGGGCCATCCTCTTGATTAATTCATGCGCGCTTTGAAAATTTTTTTCATAATGCGGAAAGCGTAGTGCGAATATTTTTTGCGTGGCGAATTGTCCCGCTCGACAAAGCTGTTCCGAACTTAATTGAGGCTAGCTCATCGTTCGTATTAATTTTCACATTTAATCATTCGTTTTGTTCAAAATTTATAGTTTTTCAATATATTTATTTGCCCAAAAACTATTTAATAAGGAATAAGGGGGCACTCGCAACATTCAGAACTTAGTTCTGATATACATGCTGGGTCTCTTTGGGGAAAATATGCGGAAACTTTGACGATATGCACCCATGAATTTTAATTTCATTTTATTTCGAACTGCATTTTTTGTTACTTGAGCTTTTCAAGCGTCGATTTTTTCATTCGAAATTAAAAACAGCGCAAAAAAGTTTAATAATTTTTTGACCTTAGCTGAGAGTACCTCTAAAAAAATTAAAGTTCTTTCGAATTTTTTTTTGCAAATTGCTTCAGATATGCGGAGTTTCAGCGGTATTTGCTATTTAAAATTTGAGGATTATTATGCAGTACTTATGCAGGATTGAATGCCGCACATTTATACTAGCCTCGCACAAAATCAACTGTTTTTCAATCTCTGCATCGTTCTATTCATTTTTTAAAAAAGAGTTTTTTTTTCTGGTAGAACTGACGATCAAAGTACATGTTAAAAGTGAGTTCAGTGCACATCACATGTTTTTACTGTGTTGTTAGACATATTTTGACGGAGAGAGAAATTCAGCTGAGCATTTGAACACAACCAGGGGAGCTTCTAGCCCTTCTACTTCTGCTGATGCCCATAGTGGCCACAATGGCACTGAAGAAGACGCCGCAACCACTGAGGCCGTGCACTCCGTCAAGACTAATTCCACCTATGTACATCAATGGGGCGCCCAAGTGAGATAATATTTTTCCTTATGCTTGCGCACGATCTGTCATTTTGCCCCGAATTTAAACAAAAGCGAGGAATATATACGCTTAGGTTGTTTTTTTTTTGCTCAGACCAATTAACAAAATAATATTCGCTCAGATGGTGGTTCGATTCCCGGACCTGAGTGGGCTGGCCGCGCGCGGACCACTAAATCAACCTGAGTGTCTAATCCATGTGAAACGAGTCTAAGTAAACTGCTCGTTGTTCCGACTATCGCAGAAAGCGACTGAACATTTTTGCTCGGAGTGTTTTTCCTCACCACCAATTTCGCCTTTTAGTTTGAACTAATCATATTTAAAGATATTTTGCATATCATCTAAAAACCTTTGATGAGCTGTCCTGAGCTCAAGTTTAAGCTCAAAAAACTTGATCGATTTCTAGTTTCAAAAAAAGAATTTAGCCTTTAGATTTCCCAGCGCAACAAAACTTTTCATAATATTTCAGTTTTCACAAATTGGATTGTTTTATCAAAGCAGTTCGGAATATTTATGCTTGGCGTGGTTTTTTATTCATTCAACTTTCGACGATCGAAACAATAGTTTTTAACAAAAACTTTATATGCCCCATTGAAGAAATTGACTCCTTGCACACAAGTTTTAAGAAATACTTTTACCTCCGATCAGTTTTAGCAAAGTTTCGGGAGTTTGAAAGTTTGAGAGTGAATGGCCATTTTTGCCATTCTCTGGACTATATTATGCACGCTTTGTAGATGGTATCCATTATCCTGAAAGTGTAACGCGAATTTTTCATGCGTGGTGAGTTATATCGACAACAAAAATGTTTTAAAGAGAATGGAGGCAAGCTAATTGGCTTTGATATTGTCCAAAGTTTATAGTTTTTCAATATTTTTTTCTAGAAACTATTCGATATAAATTAGGAACAGTCAAAAAATTCATGGCTTTTGCTAGGAGCAGTCTTGTTATTGACTATCCCAATTTTCTGTCACTAAAATTAATTGCAGCCAATAGGATTTTCGACGCTAAACACATCCCTCTGTAGTTTAAATTAGCGTGTCGGGAATAAACAAAAACAAAAATTGAAAAAAAAAATTTGTCAGTTTTCTAACCAAACAAAATTTAAATTGACTTTAAAAAGTAACTTAAATTTTTAGAGCTTCGCCCTGATAAACGAGCAATTGTGTCTAAATTTGAAATGTTTTAACTGATCAAATTGGAAAGATCAAAGTTTTAACTGAAAAGATCAAGTTTGAGTCGTAGGGATTTAATCTGATCGATTAGCTAGCCTCAATTTAATTTGGAACATTTTTGTTATACGGGATATTTTGCTACGCATAAATCATTTGCCTTACATTTTTAGCAGTATAAATAAAATCTTCAAAAGCGCATAAACTAGTCCAGGTCAAATTGGCAATTTTCGAACTCCCAGAACTTAACAAAAATATTCAAAGGTAAAATATCTTTTTTCATTTGATTTCAGGAATATCTTTTTGATCTTAGAAAATACATTTGATCTATAAAAAAATTATTTGATCGCCAAAAACTGACTGAAGATAAAACCAAACTAAGCTTAAATAACATAGTGTAAGTTTGTAAGTTTCGTTCACAAGTAAGTTTAGTTCAAAAGAATACTTACTTCGGACTCTTATATAGATCTTGATGACTTTTTTTCAGGAAAAAAACCTTAAATGCTCTAAAAACTACAGAAAGTGCATTCACACATATGACAATTTTTTAACTTTACGATTGTCTTTGTGAATACGTGCAATTTTTGACTTCAATTTTCAATTTAGTTTTATTTGCTAAAAGGTAGACAAAATTTGCTCTCTAATTACAAAAAAAAAGAAATGGCACAAAAAACGTGCTCGACTTCTAGTTTCGAAAGTGGAATTAATTTTTACACTTCTCATCAATTTGAGTTATTTTTATTTAGAAAAATGCCAAGCATAAATGTTTCTCGAAATTCCAAAAACTTCAAGGCCACTTTTTTCTTTGAAACTCAATAGTTGACACTTTTTCAAAATACAAGTACTTTGTTTTCTGTTGCTTTGTCTTTATTGACTATTTTCCAACTATCTGATGGCTTTTTTTCTATAAAAGCGGTACCCTCCATTTTGCCCAAAATCATTGACATCAAGTTTTTTGTTAAATTGGTAGCAAGACAATCTCCTGGTTGTTACCCAATTTATCGACAAAAAACAAGCATGTTCCTCTTGCGTTTGAAAAATAAGATTTCAATATCAACCTGCTAACCTCAGTTTTTGTAAAAACCTGTATAAAAATATAAAAGTAATGAACGTAGTGAGTACTTTTATAAAGGTATTGGTGATTTTTTTATTCATGTTTTTCATTTTTTTTTTCAGTTAAAATTTGTTCTGGCTCAATTTTGGTTTTTCGCGGTTTGACTTGTAATTTATTTTTAAGTTCAGTGCATCTCCATTGTTAAAAGGAAGCCAAACTCCACTATCGAACAGCCAAATTGTAAAAATCACCAAAAATGTGATCGACTTCTAATATCGAAAATGGATAATAATTATCAGATTTCCTAGCGGTTATAAAAATTTGCCGATCGATCCAGTTTTTTCAAATAGGGTTAAATTTGTCAAAAAACCATTTATCATATATAAGTTTTACTATTTAAAGTTACAAGAGATCTGAAATCTGTTTATTTTATCTGTAGATCTTCGATTTTACGCGGGTCGGTCAATTGTTATAGATGATCCGATCAATCGAATAGCCAAAAAAAAATTAAAGGAATCTCGAGAAAAATTGGTCTTAAATTTGGTATTCAAGCTCAAACATTGTTTAGTTTTTTGGAAATTTCATTTTTTTTCCATTTTTTGCTTTTATCTATTAAAACTATCTATGTCCAGTAAAACATGGAGTTTCATTCAGGTATCTATTAAAACTTATCAAAAGTCGTCAGTATATAGGCGGTGATTGCTTTTTAGTTTTTTTTCAGGAAAAGTCTTGCGATTTATTCAAGCTTAGCGGTTTGACATTTCATTTCTTTTAAATTGAATTCATTTTCTTTGGTAAAAGGAAGGCAAACTCCACTACCGAACAGCAAAAATGTTAAAGTCTCTGAAAAAATGATCAATTTCTGTTTTCGAAAATGGAATTTACTTAAAAAATTTTTCAGCAAAGTAAAAATTTTAGCTATTGGTTCAGTTCTCTCAAATTTTGGTAATTTAATCAAAAAAATGCCAATCTTAAACTATTCGTGAAATTCAAAAATGTCTAAGAATGTAAATATTTTTCTTCATTTTTTATTGTTTCCTTGCCTTCATTACTAGTTTTTGCATAAAAAAGACAGTGTCAAAAACCCTTTTAATTGGTTTGTTGATTGGATTAGGATTGAGCCAACATATGTTCTGCCTCATGCATAGTTAAATGAACATCTGGATACATTCAATTTGAAATTGTTTTTTTTTTTTGAGGTTCTTTTAGGGTATGACAATCACACCGACATTAAATTTACACTAAAAAGAAGAGGAAGAACTTGTCTTATTCATGGTGATAAGATGAGGATGGTGATACATTTAATTGGGATAGAAAGTTAAACTACATGTAAGCAAAAGTAATGTTCAATTTTGTGCTGTTAATGTTTGCCGCGGTGATTCATTTACTGGCGTCTTTGCTTCAAACTGGATCGCCTGTTTGTTTTGAGATGAATGAACGAACTACTTGTGGACTAAGTAACTGCTTTGAACTTGTAGGGGTCAACTGAGGATGAGAAAGGAAAAGGGAGGAGCAGTGGTGCCTCCAGCAACGCACACTACAGTTCAGTTGACAAGATGGACTTCAGGTTGCAGAAGACCTCTTCAGGTGCCCCCGGAACCACATCAACATCCGCCTCCGCCTCCGCCTCCTCGGGGGACAGAGAGAGTAAGGGCAGGAAAGAGGGGGACCGAGTGGAGGCAGTGGGCCATCAGGAACTGCACGAGGAAGATGAGGAAGAGGAGGAGGGGCTTCTGAAGGGCAACAAGGAGTGGAGTCTTTCGACTGGGGGAAACAGCAGCAGTGACTTCGTATCCGTCAAGTCCAATCTGTCCATACCCAGAATTAATGTCCACTCTGGCGACCAACCCCACCAGGTTCCTTTTCAAACTCACAACATAATGCGTAATAAGTTATCTGTAATGATGTTTTGAGTATCTTTTTGTTTTCGAGTAATCAGCCCAAATATTGTATCAATCAGTACCAAAGGCGCCTTCAAAAAAACTTGCCAGTTGGTCGCCAAAAAATGGGTGTCAAATCTTGCTACCAAAAGTGGGACACTTGACCCTTTGGGTTGTGAGGGATTCAAGTTTCCTGGAACTTTTAAATCTACCCAAAATTTGCCGCCAGAATGCTGGGCAATTAGATTAAAATGATCACACGGAAACCGACCAACATTTGAACGGTTTTGAGTGATTTATTTTGAAATTTCGCTTCAATTTCTGTTTAAGAAACCGCCTGTACAATCTGAAGCAAATTTTTGAGTGTAATCGGTTTCAAAAAACGCTTAGTTGTTGATGAATTTAGGCAGGAAATTACAAATTAGGATTCTACTGTAAATCTCTCATGTGTGTGCGTATCGGTTTGTATGTGTGTGTGTGTGTGTATGTGTGTGTGAAACCATATCAAACGCTACTTCTCTTAATCGGTCGAAAGAAAGAGAAAAAAATTTCGCGTTCTGATAAAAATCACGTTTCAAACTTCTTCTTGGTTCTTCTACAGTTCATTTCTATTACATGGTCAGAATTAAATACGTACACTTTAGCGCGTTTCTGTACGAAATGAAGATACTCATAAGATAGTGCTAGTTCTTGTTCCGACTTTCGTAACGAAAGTATCGGAAGTTTTTGTTTTTCTTCAGGCAAATTTCGACTTTTTAGCTAGCCATGTTTGACGGAATTTCTTATACCATTCAAAAGGTATTGTTGTCCTAAGCTTATAACTGGAAAGATATTTACCTGTGATAAATTTACGTAAAGTTACTAAAATTTTAATGGTTTGTCTTTTGGTTTTTCAATCGGAAAGTTCAAATGAGGTTTATTCTCCTGGAAGAGCCATTGCTGCGAAGAAAGATAATCACCTATGATGTTATACTTTAGGTTTCCTACCGGATAAAAGCTTCCTATTGATCCATCCAGTTTTCTCAAACGGGTCAGAATTAAGTACGTGCATCTTAGTAGTTAATGAGAGTAATGAACGTAGTGATGACTCTTATATAGGTCTTGGTGATTTTTTTTCTCAGGAAAAAGTCTTAAAATGCTCTAATAACTAAAGATATATATTCATACTTATTGATGCACTTATGAATGCACTTAGGTACATATGCACTTTTTGAGTTCAATTTATCTGTTGAAAATGACCTGAATAGCACTCTCCAAATACAAACGTGGAAATTGCGCAAAAATACGTGAACAATTTTTAGTTTCAAAAGTGGAATTTAATTTTTTAATTTCATGAGGATTAAAAACTTAACCTCTTGATCAATTTTTCTCAAGTTGGTTTAATAATTACAAAAAAGCGATTATCATAATTCGTTCTAGAAATTCAAAAAGCTTAAAGGGCTCCAATTTTTTTCTTTGAATTTCAAACGTTGAAATGTTTCCAACAAATTCAATGTTTTTTTTTCTGTTTACCTGCGCTATGATTCTTTTCCAATCTTCGAGGGACTATCTTATAAGATTCTTGATGCTCAAGAATAAATTCAGCTATGTTTTTTTCTATCATTAAAAAACTTCTCATTTTGATCGAATTGATTAAAAACTTGAGTTTTAAATTTATTCAATTTTTTTGTTTTTTTTTCTTGCGAGTTCAATCAAAGATTTATAATACGGATTGCAACTCCGTATTAACGCGTGCTGCGTACGCGGTAATAGCACGAAACATTGCGTTTTATTTGTCTCAAATTGGCTATCTTTAAACTTCCATGATTTTAGTGAAAAGATCGCCAAAAATTGTGTTAAAAATTTAATTTCAAGATAACGAAACCTTTCAAATGATATTTAAAAATTCTTTCAAGAAATGCTTGTTGAAACGTAGAGATTGGTGTGGAAAAAAAACCATCTTAAGCTCGAATATTCCATCATTTTCTTCGAATGTTCGAACAATACGCAGAGCTGCATGAAATGAAGTGTTTTTTCAGTTTCAAAAAAGAATTCACTTTTCAGAATTTATAGCGTTAAACAAAAAATAACATCTTGAACCTGTTTTTAGGGATCAGCTTAATGGTATATATTTGCGAAGATCGAAAAATTCAAAAAAAAAACAGTTTTTTGGTCGCTTATAGTAAATTTTATAGTAAGTTTTTCCATCTTTAATGGCTAAAAGTTAAGAGAATTAATACTTTTCATTTTTGTTTTGAATTGTTTTTTTTTAAAACTTCCAATTTTCTAATGCCTTAATCTGAAATCCGGATTGACAGGAATTTATTTTTCCATATGCATAGAGTTATTTTGAAACGGTGCTTCTTTGTCGATCAACGAAAATTAAATACTTAAACGAGAGTATCAAATATCAACTGACCTCTTCTTGCTCTACAAAAAGAAAAATTGAATGAAAACTAGCTGCTCTGGCAAACAAGATTAGAGGAAGTCTAAAAATTAAAGTTTTTTACGGTTATTTAGTTCAGTTAAATGTTCAGTTCAATTCCTTTGTTAAATGAAAGGCAAGCTCCACTATCGATTAGCAAAAACCTAATTTAGAAAAATGGAATTTGAGTATCAAATTTCCCATCGAAAAAACTTTACCTTTAGATCCAGTTTTCTCTAACTAGGTTAAAAAAATTAAATGGCAATTATAAATTTCTCTAAACTTTTAAATAACTTGAAGGCCAGCTATTTCTTCTTGGAAAGTCGAAAGTTGTCGAAAGTTTTTTTTTTGTTTACTTGCATTCAAAGAATTTTATCCAGCTGTTTTTTGGCTATGTTCCTCGATATGAATATACTGAAAATCAGTGTTAATTAATTTTCCCAATTCACTAGCAGGGGCGGATCTAGGATTTTCTCGAGGGGGGGGGCGAATTATCAAAAATTTCGAAAATGTTGTCGACCTTTTTTTGTCGACCCCCTAGCCCCCTCATTCCTCCCCTGTTCTTCAGAATTGAATTTAATTTAGCTTTTATTCGTTGATAAATACAAAAGTGACCTAACAGTGCTTCATTTTTCATTCGATAAAGCCAAAGATTGCAAAGCATCCATCTTCAATAAACCAGTATTTATTGAATGAAAGTGAAAGATGAAAGATCAGTTCTCTGACGTAAAACACTCAAGAGTACAAGCAAAAAAGTATTAACTGTTTTCTCACAAGGCCTCCGTACAAATTGTGGCAAAAATGGGTTACGGAGGATTGAAAAAAATGATACGGAAGCGGAAATAAAGAAAAACAGACCCAAACAATACTCGACTGAGAATACGTTTTTGAGCAGAGGGATTAACAATTCTAAAACCGAGTAATATTAATTTTGTGAGGGGAACGCGCACAAAGAAACTCAATCTTCTGGTCCAGATCTCAATTTTGGCCTGTTTTCCTCAAAAATTTGCCAAAAACGGGCGTAGAAAACGGCACAGACAACTCGATGAAACCCGGATCTTTATCGTGACTTGGGTAGAGCTCGGAAAATTTGGTCTTATCGAATTTGGTCTACCTATAAAAAAACTCTTTAAAATTTTTTGAAACGCCACCCTTCTCCTCTTATAATTCCTAGATCCACCCCTGGTCTTTGTAGTTTGCTCCCTTTGCTTCGATAAGCTTTTCAATAAAAGAGGAAACGTCTTCAGAAAATGGCAATGAATGTATTATGCGTTTCTTTTTTCTGTTGTTGGGTCATTAATGAAATAACAAATTTGTAGATGAAAAATAAGTCAAAAGCAGTGTTTTTGTAAAATTTAGTTGCAGTTGTCTTGTCTGTCTGCAGGGTGGTCCAAGTACGACTGGCACAGGTGGGAAAACCGAGGGAACAAACGAAGATGACACTGGCACTGGCACTGGAGCATCAACTGGACCTGGAAGTGAGTCAGAGGTCCACCCTTCCACTGGCTCTAAGAGGGGAACTCTCATCGCCTGGATTGAAGTGCAGAAGTCAGATGAACAAGACCCAGTAAGTTATCCAAAATTAGTTCACTAATCTGTCATTATCATTTGCATCCTTAAAAATCTCAAAAACAGATAAATTTTGGGAATTAAAGTTTGCGCATACTATGGCGTTTGTCATAATTTTTTATCAAAGAATGAAGAGGAGACTGTTATTTAGGTCGTGTCTTTTCTGTTTTTACAGAAAAAACTTTAAGAAGTTGCTCACACTCTAATTTGATTTTCGCAGTTGAGCTTTTGGTTTTTGTAAAGTATTCGTTTCCTGTGCATTTGTCGGTGCTATCTCACAGAGCGGCATTCCCGGATACCCGAAAAAACTTAAAATTTTTTAATAGAGTAATTAGCAAAAAAAAACATGACTAAATAGTTAAATTTGTCACAAAACTTGGAATAATTTGATTGGAACGTTTAAGTTTTCTTTTTTTTCGGAACTAAGCTTTCAAAAAATCCAAGAGACTTAGAACATTTCCTTAATGAAATAGTTTTGCTTTCATTGAATTCGATAGCAAAAGAAGTGCGAATACATTTGAACGCAATTTTTTTGGCTACACGGGAACAATTTTTTTTGGCTGATCATTCGACTATCCGGTAAGAAACTTTTTTTTCGGAATTCCAGTAAACAACCTAAAAAGAGTATTAAAATTTAATAGTTTTGAGTTGAACGCGTGGAGCGCGCGCCAAAAAAAGTACAAAACTTGGTTTTATTGACAATTTTTTTCTTGATTTTGCCTCTCCACCGAAAGTTTTATCAAAAAAAATCTTTACAGAATTTCATAACAGGATACAGAATAGATACATAATAGCAGTACCAGGTTAAGGGGGGACAGACACCTCCCTATCCCCCTCTCAGTGACACGACGCCCTGCCGACACAAAGGTCCCACCTATGCATTTTGAGATATGCATTTTGAGATTTTTGGCCCTTAAACTTTTCCGTAGGCCCCTTGAGCGCCAAAATAAACTAATTATGAGGAGGGAGCGCGCGAAGTTTTTTTTAAATCCAACCCCCAGCCTCAAGAGAGTCCTAGATCCACCCCTGCATAATAAAATCACAAAAAGAAAAAATATTTAAAAAGAATCAAAGAATTACAAAATACAAGATACTCTAACAAGATTCTTGTAGAATAAGCTCTATGTTGCAAGATATTCCTAGTTCACCTCCATGTTGTATGATTTTCAAAAAAAACCCTCGTATGGAAAAATCTTACAATATCTTGCAAGATAATCCTCCGTGATCGACTAGGGGCTGATCTAACACCGTCATTCTGTTCAAAAAAAGTAGCCGAACTATAAAAACAAAATTAGCAAAAAGAACTTAAAACACAAACACAAACAATTAATAAAATTTTGAAGCAAAACTTGAAGTATACAGTGAAGCGCTTGTATCTATAAACATTGTACCTCAACCTCAACTTCCGCTCATTAGATCAATCGAATCAGAGCAATGCTACAACATACGCCATGTTCTCGATATAAGTTCTTAGATCTCCACTACGAGGCCAAGCCGTGCACTGAAAAGGTGCATAGTTTGGTGTCTGTAGGTCACCGGAATCCAGAGACAAGTCTATAAACATGGTGGAAAATGTAAGTGGATTCTACTTACAGAATTTTTGTGGATTCCGCGCACAAATACATGTAATGTAATTTTTGTTGGTACATTAGTTTTTTTGCGAATACCGCAACGAGCTTTTTTATCTAATTGTACCGGATTTGGCAAATGTAAGCAGATTCCGCCAATGTATTTGGATTCCGCAATTCAAGCGGATTCCGCTCACAATTTGCGGAATCGACTCGCAATTTGCGGATACCGGTTACAATTTGCAGATTGCACTTACAATTGCGGACTCTACAACAATTTAAGCTTATCAAACACATGTATTGTTAATTGTTTGTGGTTTCCGCAAATTGTTCCAAAATCCGCAATTTTTGTTGCGGATTCCACAAATTTTGTTGCAGATTCCGCAAATAAGCTTTTTTTTTGCAATGTTGAAATGTTGAGCATTACATTGTTTTAACTATTTAACCGTTGAATCCAAAATAACAAAGAAAATAAAACAAAATAGCAATGCTGCGAGTTCCGTGACAATTCTCTTTTTGGCTTGTTGTGGAATCCGCTTAAAACTCACAAAATGCACAGTTTGGCCTCTTGATGTTTTTGAATTTTTCACCGCTTCTGCAAAGGAGCGACATTTTTTACTAGGTACAAAATTTACAAAAATTTTATCCATCAAACTATTTCTTTATAGGAGTGGCAATTTTTTACTCGATACCCTAGGAGGGAATAGTTAACGAGATCCGAATGACTCAAATAAGAAATTAACGCAAACCAGATGGAATTTCTACTAATAAAATTTCTATTTTTAGGCAGTTTCTTAGTTTTATGTATTTTTTTTTACTTATAAACGGTGAAAAACCTAAAACTAACTAAAATTGATTCATAGCTGAACCCTAATGCTATATTGTATTCTGCTTATCAGATCAAATTGCTTGTGCAGGAACTCTAAAATTAAAGTTCAACTTGACTTTGAGTTTTGCCAGATACTATGGGACTAAGAAAACTAAGAATAAGAGTAGAACTAATCATTTAAAAAAGAACTGCGCTAACTTGTCCGCTTGAAAACAGATGAAGTGACAAACAGACGGTGTTTTAATGCAGCAGGTAATTATATGGTCATATATCATCTGGTGCAACAAACAAGGCTCAAAAAGACCTTGAAGAAACCAATTTACATCAGAAAAATCAAATTAATCTCGAAAACTATTGCAAAACATCTCAGTCGACTGCAATTGAAATTGCAATGGAGGAAATAGTGGGATAGTTTAAAATTAAAAAAAAATTATTTTGCGAAAAAAAATTTGGGAATCAGAAAAAAAACCTGGAATGCCAACTTTTGTGGCTGTTTGATGTTTTCACTGGCAAGAGAAAGTGACTTGTAATCTGAGACTAGACTTGTTTTTAGTGTAATTCACTTTTCTTAGAGGCGACTAGTCTCGGGCTCGATTCCCAGCTGGACCTTAATATCTTTTTTATCTTGTATACCAAAGAAAATAAAAAACAAGTCTGTATGTAGGTATCTATAACTCGCTTCATTGTGCAGCCTCTGTGCATTTCAGGTCCCTTCCTTTTACGTCCAGAGGTCAATACGCGCCTTTGCAACATAATTTTCACAGTTTCCAAATGTTCTATTGGGAAAACTTCAATTGTCACACTATCGTTTATCTGCTTACTTCTGTCGGCTTTCGGTCCAACGCAAAAAGGATTTCGAATCATCTTTTTTTACTCATTTAGACCATTCTAACTATAATTAAAAGTAGGTCTGTAGTTTGTAAGTTTACTAAGTTTAATTTTGTTTTATTATTATTTTTTGCTTGAATGGGTTAGTAGTATTGTATCGTGTCCCGGATCCTAAGGGGGGGTCCTTCCTAAGGGGGGGGGATCCTCACGTAAAGCAAAATCCTAGGAAAGGGGTCCTTAATTTTTTGGAGGACCCTCATCCTAGGATTTTGTAAGCGAAAGAAATTTTCCACCCAAAAAGCAGAAGACCCCCTACTTAGGATCTTGCTAAGTTTAGCTTAACAACAAGGGACACGATACAAAATTCTTTCCAATTCCAATTTTTGGGGTCCTAATTATTGGTCCTGGTTAATTATATGAATCAAATTAATTGTTATATTTGTTTCGGGCAAATGAACTTTCGACCTAGTTGAAATTCCTGTTTGATTTATTAAACAGGTATTATGAAAACGTTTTTTTTTCCAGATGAGATCTGGTTTTTTTTTTTTTTTGAGACGCTTTTTCGAAAAATTCGCTTTCCCAAAAAACTATATTAATTATTATATTTGTTTCGGGAAAATGAACTTTCGACCTAGTTGAAATTCCTGTTTGATTTATTAAACAGGTATTATGAAAACACTTTTTTTTTCAGATGAGATTTGGTTTTTTTTTTTGAGACGCTTTTTCGAAAAATTTGCTTTCCCAAAAAACTACCCGTCAGATTCTCATAAAAGTAGTATCAATGGATTCAGTAGCGTTTCACCTACCTGCCTGCATGAAATTTAGGGCAATTTTTACCCTACCCCACTCCCTACGGGCAATAACAAAGATTTGAAAAAAGGCCAAAAAAGTCAAAAAAGTGACTTTTCCTAAGTCTATAGCTCTATAGGTCCTTAATTTTTTGGAGGATCCTCATCATAGGATTTTGTAAGCGAAAGAAATTTTCCACCCAAAAAGCAGAAGACCCCCTACTTAAGATCTTGCTAAGTTTAGCTTAACAACAAGGGACACGATACAAAATTCTTTCTAATTCCAATTTTTGGGGTCCTAATTATTGGTCCTGGTTAACTATATGAATCATATTAATTGTTATATTTGTTTCGGGATCCTAAGGGGGGGTCCTTCCTAAGGGGGGATCCTCACGTAAAGCAAGATCCTAAGAAAATGACCTTTTTTCAAATCTTTCCGATTTCCTCAAAAACTACCCGTCCACATTTGAGATTAAGGGTTTAATCGATAGACCAGGTTGTAGGAACCCCCCCCTACACAAACGGCTCGTCCCTAATTTGTCTAGGGGAAGAGCTATACACTTAGGAATAGTCAGTTTTTCGGTTTTTAGGCCATTTTTTCAAACTTTTTTGATTTCTTCAAAGTGCCTTCAACGCCGTTACAAAACGGTTAAGATCAGTATCCCGACCACGAGCAGCAGTATTGCCACCAGCAGGAGATGCAACCCCAAGCAAAGTTATGAGATCATCAACTCTTGGGCGTCAATTTAGTTTTGATTCTACTCCTGACAAAAAAAATGATGTAACTTAAAGCAGAAGTAAGTGTTATGTGCTGTTATGAACAATTGCTACGTCTTTGTAGCCACTATAATAAAGCTATCACATAAATCTAAAAAAATCGGGTTTTCACATTCATTCCTAACATGACCTCAGGCCTCATGCGTATAAGAATGAATGAAATTTTATAGCCTTGCCTAAAAAGTTATTAGCTTTGACCTAATTGAAC